ATTTTAATTGTGCGGAAAGGCACAAGAAAACAGAAAGCGCATTGGTTTATAAGTGAGTTATTTCATATTATTAATTAATACATACAATCATAGTTTAGGTAAATATTTTGTAATATATCGACTTTGTGCACTGATTTTAGATATAGAACTTGTTTCCGAACATGATTTTTCCTGTACATTTTATTCCGTGTGGAGAATTTTTTATTAATTGAAACGTTAACGGGTTCATATACACTTCCATAATTAAATTGATAAATTATAGGCTCCGTAAATTTTACGATTTGGCAATGTTGAATATTTCTATTGCTCCTATTGGTCAATCGAACAAGAAGCGGGAATAGGGTCGTGACGTCACCACCCTACCACATTCGATTTTTAATAATTAATTACGGGAAAACTACGGTACTTTGAGAGATGAAACAAAGTGCAAATTGCTGGAGATTAAAGACATTTGGAAAAACGTTCTCAGGAAGTTTATTTCGCATAGACGCAGTTGAAAGATGAAAGAGTTCTCAAACAGTGACGTTAGAGGTGTACCGAGTTGAACCTCAAAACGATGAGCAGCCACAGTTCGTCGCGTATGTCTAATATGTACCGTTCTTGGTGGAATCGAATGTGCCAAAAAGTATCTATAGAAAAGAGATAAATCTCCAACATTTCTTCGATGTTACAGGCTTTCGTTGGTAGCTGGGAGGTTCGACGAGGGTGCTTTGTTCACTCAGTCAATGTGTGTGTCGATGTGTGAGTCGATGGTTCAAGCCGCAGGCAGAACGCTCGATTTTCACTGGCTATCGTCCAATCCGTGTTAGGAATCACAAGTTAAAAAGTAGGACCTTGTTAGTCTTTAGCTCGCACAAGTTTCGACTTCTGAGGGTTATCGTTCGTAGGGGTGCGATAGCTGGTTAACGGAAAAAACTACATATCAAGGTTGTAAGTGATATTCGCGTATACAATCAGGCGGATGACTATTTTCTGGATGGAACCCGGCAACTTCAGCAATATACATGTGAGCAGCTACTGTTGAACGGATAATCGAAGTGGTGCAAAACCAACTTGAAAAATATTTCGAATATATTACTCCTAAATTCAATCTTTTTAACTCTGTATGTATTTTACTTTGTTTTTACAAGTCTCCATCTACTAGTATTGATATTTTCATAGAAAAACTGACTGAACTTTTAGACTTCTATAGAACCCGTGGGAAATATATATTATGTAGAGATTTCAATATGAATTTTTAAAACCAACTGGGAATACATAAACACTCTTGCATGTATTTGTATATATATTATTTACATGACAAAACAAACAACAAGACCAGATAGCACATCAGAAGGTACGCAAATTGATATTTTAAGTAACTAACCTATCTTTTAATTGCTCCGTAAGTCAATCAACCGTCTCCCATCACTATAGCCAAATATTAGATATGAAATATGATGCTGAACTTCAAAATCGAATTATGTAGAAACGGTTGTATAGTGAAAGTAATAATGTGCAATTTGTAAATTCATTATTCTTAGAAACCTAGGAAATTGTTTATGGCTCGATAGAGGTGAACTGTAAATAGGTTCGTTCCAACCAGCGTCAGAAACAGTTTCTGACAGTCAGGATTCTGCGCAGTAATGTGATTGCGTTCCAATCTTTCTTTCCCAAATTATTTTTAAAGGTTATGTTGAAATTCCATGCCAAACTTCAGTTGAACTATCAGCTGTTCCAATCAGAAATTTCAAATTAATCAGAAACCAATATTTACCAGACATGCGCGTTGACAACGATTTACAAACAGTTGGAAATCTGTTTGTGACTCAAGGTTGGAACGAACCTAATATAAAAACTTTCATGATATTCTTTACTACAACTTTGACCTTGCTTTTTCTGGAAAACAAATGAAAATCAAAACTAATGATACAAATTTGGTTACGTCCGATAATAAAAGATACTCTCAATATAAATATTGGTGATCTGAATAGCTTATACAAGGAAACAAAATGTCAAGCATTACTTATCATATATAAACAAATAGGGAAGGCATATAGAAAATATTCATTAAATCACAAAAAGGGGTAAATGATACTAAAATTTCTGCCTCGCATAACAAATGTAAAACACTGTAGAGTATTTTTATTTGAATTAAATAGACATACAATCGGTTCAATTTCAAGATAGGTAAAAACTTCTTAGATGATCAAACAAAAGATGTAGAAATACAGACTTAATCAACCAAGGCATTCTTCATGAATAAAACAGAAAGCAACACATCTAACCATCAAACATCTTTGAATCCAGAAATAACTGAGGACAACTCTTACATATTTGAACTGTGTGACAACACTACAGCGTAGGGATCAAACTTCTTAATGCTCTCAGTAACAAACGAGATGACTTGTGTATGTTCTTATCCGATAATCTGTACTGTGTGGCATGTTTTAGTGAAATATGGCCGACAAGTTAACAAATTCAGTCCGCTCGTATAAGCAACTACAAAGATTTGTAATTGTTTCTTTTATTTCAATCTGCTAAGTTGTTATCATGTGTTGTTGTGATATTCACAATTTATTTATATTCATTCATGAAAAATTATGATTGAATTTCTTTTTATATTATGCAGTACATTTAGCATATGCAAAACATACTTAGCATATATACCTCAAGTCGAAGTTGCTAATAAAGATCATTATTATTATAAGTACTGATTTCAACAGAGGGAAACAAGCTGATTGGCAATTATCTTTCAGTTTCTATACAATCACTGTTCAATACAAATTAGAACGTCACATCTGCTATCGAAATAAAATGATACCAAAAAGAAGACAAACCATGTTCGACATATAAAACTCAAGTTGTCAGATTTCGAAAAATACTGGTCTATATAAATTTAGTTCCTCACCTATTTTGTAACATCTGACCACACAATTGGTCAATCCTCGAGGTGAGCGTCGATCTCTCTGGAACGCTGTTCATCGGAGGTGGAATGGAATCGACAACAATAAGTAAAAGTAGTTCAGTGAGCAACAGAGACATCGCCAGAATGCCTTGTATTTGCATCTGGGTATCATGCTGGATGTTGTTGGACGTTCCCAGTTCTTCGACATGCCTACTCATGCTGTCAATTATAAGGCTCAAAAGGTGTCTAGCTCCATAGCGACCCATTCCGTCCTGGGTTACAGCCGCAGTGGGGTCAGCGCGAAAGTTGCCGATCATATTTGAACCGACGCTATTGCCAAGAACTCTGTTCACTCTTAGAACGCATCCGTGCAACCTCAATGCTAGAATGTGCTCTCCGAGATCGATAGTGGAGACCGACCTGGAAGGAGGTCTTGGGGGTTCGTTGTTAATGAAAATCCGCATTTGCTCAACCAGTAGCTGTTCTAACCGCCTCGTCATCAGAGACATTCTACTAGAATCAATAACGGCGTGGTTTGAAGTGGTCTGGGATCTGAAAACGAATGTAACATGTAAATCCCAGGCTTTTAAATATTCGTCAGACTGAAATAAAAAAGTACCTTTCGAAAAATGTGAAAATCATTGAAATAAAAAACAAATAAATCATTCATTATTGCATATTATAGAGAAATACCTACCCTGTATTACCCCCACCCAAAGTCTAAAACCTAACAGATAATTTTCTTGTCTTGTCAGTGAATGACCAAAAAGTTGAATATAGACAGAAAATCGATAGGCAGAAAGACCAACTACCTACTGTGTAGATACGTTGTTTCAAGATTTAATTTCCAAATATTTGTTTTCTTATATGTATCTATCCTCGATAGAGCCTTCAGAATTATTTTTATTATTTTTCTTTATTCAAAACTTCAATATTAGATTTACATTTGGAGTACTGCAACAAAATTAATCGAGAAACCCTTGAAAACTTTAGAAACAACAAATAAATTATATGAACCAGATATTTACTGGACTTTCATTCAATGTTCAACACAGATATAGGTATTTTCACCTATTAGACAACACGTAAATATAAACATTCAAACATATCTTATACCATGAAATCTAATCGTCATGACTATTTAAAAACTATTTCTTCAATAGATTGATAACGTTTAGTAGCCTGCCCGAATACATAATAAGCATTAATTTTGTCACTGAATTCAAGAAAACTATTTCAATGTATTTTATATCTACGGAAAAACTAATTAATTTAATGAATATGGATTCCATCTGGTTCCATGAGTATTGATTGTTTTTTTTTTTAATTGTTAATTCATACCATTTGTCATCATCTGCTATTTAAATTTCAATGTACTTTATTTGGTATTGATAAAGTTATCATTTGTATTCTCAAACATTTTTTTGGAATTTGTAGGTAACTACCAGTACCTTTGTAAAATTTAATTCTCTACAAGTTTCTCTCTGAGAATTCATTTCTTGGAATAAAGATCTGATTTGCTAGAGGAAAAGAAATATCTGATCCTTCTCTTCTCCATGCATTACTACCAGCAGGGACAAGGATTTTCAGTATGTTACACCACTAGTACTACGAACAATGTACCATAGTAGATATTTCTGATTACTGCCTTTCCATTTATAATAATGTCGTAGTCGTAGTAGTAGTAATATTTTTATTCATTTAGGTTAGACTGAAACGTTCATTTAAAATATAATACGCTAGCGATCCGTCCTGGCTCAACAGGGGTGCAATGCTGATACTAAATATACAAATAAAATGCTAATCATAAAGTGCTATAGGGCGAAGCGCGGCTTTCGACTTGCTATTTAAAGGCACGCGTCGTCGGCCCCCGACCGGTACCGCCGCAACCGCTTTGTCCCTGCATTTTAAATATGTAATATTTTCGAAAATATCAATTTAAATTAAATACTGTAAACGACCATATTGATCTATATTAAATGCACAATGTATTTAAGATAAAGATAAAGATTAATGCTTTATTGCTTGAAATCGCTTCGTAAATAAGCTATTATTTCTCGAGGATAAAAAATGGTTATTGTGGGTTATCCCTACAAGATAGACATATAGCATTGCGGACATTTTTGTAGACCAGTGCGTACAATGCTGTAGTACATTTTTTTATCCATCTCGTAGGGTTCAGCCAACATTTGCATCTGTGCTGATTCCAAAAATACAAACCTTTTCTTTGTATCAGCTCTAGTTTTCGAGATATAACATACTCATCAAATACTTAAATATTCTTACATTTCTGTAGATTCCACCACTATAATTGCAATATGTTTATAAACAAACTTAACAAATTCTAAGACAAATGCATTCTAATGACTTCTAATTAAAGTATACTTATTGGAAATGCCCATAACATGAAATTAGTGCTAATTACTTCTTACCTATTGTCCGATAAGTAAATAGTATTTTCTCGGAAATGGCCTTAATAAATTCCTATAAAGTTGACTGCATTCCATTGTAAAATTTAGTCTGAACTTGAGTTTCGTTGCAAGAGTTTGTTTTTGACAACTGAAATCCATGGCTTCTACAAGCAGGCGTTGTTGTGTGAATAACCCAAACGTTTTTTGCTATATATGTGGCGAGTACATTGTAAAGGTAAGTAGAAAACCAGTTTGTAATTTCATAAAAAGGGCATATCAAGCCTATTTTGGTGTTCATTTAGAAGAGAGATTAGAGATCAAGATAAATCCTGGACTCCATATGTAGTGTGCAAAACTTGTCTTGAAAACTTGCGACAGTGGACGAAATGACATTGAAAATGTTTAAAGTTTGGTGTTCCAATGTTATAGACGGAACCAAAAAATCATTTTGACGATTGCTATTTCTGTCTTGTGAATATTAAGGGCATTAATCGTAACAATTGACATACTTTGACATATCCTAACCTGGATTTAGCAATAAGACCAATTCCACATCAGCTTAAGCAGATACCCATTCCAATATTTAGCAGCCTACCTACGTTACCAGAGGATAATGTCGAAACGTTATCTGACGAACTACAGACTAATAGATTTGAGGAAGACGACAGTGACTTTGAAGGGGATTCAACACGTCCTGAGTGCTTTACTCAGGAAGAGCTAAGCGAACTTATTAGAGATTTGAACCTTCCAAAGGATTCTTCCGAGTTGCTTGCCTCCAGACTAAAGGAAATGAAAAGAAACTTCTTCACCCAGACACCAAAATTACATACTACAGTAATAGAGAAAAAGATCTTTTGACTTTTTTTTCTCAGCAAGATGATATGGTTTTTTGTATACACTAGATCACTGACGTCTTTTTATCGACAGTTCCAAACGAAGTTTGAAGTGTCTCCTTCTACATAATGACAATATAATGGAAGCATTGTTCGACCGAGAGAAAATAATATTACCTCCGTTACATATTAAACTAGGGCTGATGAAACAATTTGTAAAGGCCCTAGACCAGAATCGTTCTTGTTTTGAATACTTGTCCAGCAAATTCCCTGCACTTAGTAAAGAAAAAATGAAAGCCGGAATATTTGATAGGCCTCAGATACGACAACTTATAAAAGATTCGCATTTTACAGAATCGATGACTGATATAGAGTGTAATGTATGGTGCTCTTTTGTGAAAGTTGTGGAAAATTTTCTTAGAAACAATAAATCGGAAAATTACCGGGATTTAGTGGAAAAAATGCTCAACAATTTTAACAAACATGGTTGTCATATGAGTATTAAAATTCATTACCTCCACAGCCACTTAGATCGTTTCCTAGACAATTTTGGTGACCTTAGTGAAGAACGCTTCTACCAAGATATCAAAACGATGGAAGAGAGGTATAAGGGGAGAAGAGACACTCATATGATGGCGGATTACTGCTGGAGTCTTCAAAGGGACCATTCTTTTAAAGCCTTTACAAGAAAATCATATAAAAGGAAGTTTTTAGGTGACGCCAAATAACAGATTTGTGCTATGATGCTGGTTAGGTTACATGAAAAGTTAATTTTTTTTGGCAGATATGTGTGATGATTTTTGTAAGTATAACATTGTACAATAAATATCTTACTTTTTATTCATGTTTTGTTTATTTGATGGGTAGCAGCACTACATATATGTAGATAGTGCTGTGTTAAATTACCTATATATGAGAATACTAAAATACATTAAAGATTAAGAAATATTTAAGAATGCAGATGTGCTAATCAAGGAGCTTCCAACTGAAAACAAACAAAATAAGTGTTTCATGTTTGGAATTGACTATGAACTCAAGGATGAAATATACAAACCCTCCACATGGCCAAGATCAATGGCATATAGAAGATTTAACTTCCAAATTTACCACAACTATCAAAGGAATAATAAGGATTTTTAGATAGTTCTACACCTATGCATCAAAACAACAACTCCAGTAAAACAAATCGCAGAGCAACAAAAATATTGGGAAATATAGACAACTTCAATAGATTTAGGACAGCTTTCACAAATTATCTTTTATCAAATGCATTTTATTCTGTTGAGGAATTTATAAACTTTTAACATTGTCAACTCTAGAATTTTATTATTTAACATTGAAGCTTTTGGAATTTTTATTATTTTATCTTTACAATTTTATTATTTTATCTTCACATCAACTATATGAGGAATTTATACAACACATTTAACATTGTCAGCTTTTAGATTTTATCTTTACAATTTTATTATTAAATCACTAGTCTGATAAAATGTTATATATTATGTGTGTAATGTTTTTAATGACGAATAAATTCTATTCTATTCTATGTTAGAAATGTGATTTGGTGGCATTTTTGGATTCAGCAGACCCAAATTACGTAAAAACAGTAAAAAAAATTCCGACAGCAAACTGTGTTTACCAGTGTTATCGGTGTTTCCCTATTATATTATGCATGTTATACACATATACACCGTTCTCTTGATTGAATCACTCAATTTATTTAAAAAACCCAAATCAAAATCCGTTGCGTAGTTTTAAAGATCCAAGCATACATAGAGACATATAGCGGGAAGCGACTTTGTTTTATACTTTGTAGTGATACTTATAATGTAAGTAAAAAGTATAAATTGTAACAATGAATAAATAAATGAAAAATAATATAAAGTTATTTCATAAATTCAATATGAAAACATTAAAGATTCATAAAAGTCAAATAAACAAAAATTAGTAGTAGAAAAAATAATGAAATAATATAATTGCAAAGAAAAAAAAACTTCAATAAGTATAGATACAGATATAAAATCATACAAAGACATTAAAATTTATTATCTTTTTTGTGGAATGCTGCAATAACGCTTGTTTGAAAGGGTGAATACTTGTGTTGTTTCTCAAAGAACCTGAACTATTACCTGAATTATTTGAATAAAAATCAGACTTACGTAGAACTGGACGAGTCTGTAGCTGGAGGGAGCCTTACAGGAGGCCAAGGTGTAGGCGGATTCGGCGGTCGGGCGTTTCTGTTATACCGTCTTGAAAAGAAATGCCACATTGATGGTCTCCGACACTGTCTCGCTAACCTAAAAACATCTAGATATTTATATCACGTCTAGTAAGGAAAACAAACCTCATACCGTAACATTCTCGAAGGAGGGTATGTCTTCCTTTGGTTTGCTCTAGACCTAGCAGGTGGCTGTCCTGCAGAAGTACTACTTCCGCCGGGCTGTGCTTCTGGAGTTCTCGAGGTCGACGGTCGAGGAGGAGAAACGGACATCACTCCTTCTGTGGGCGACTCGTATGGACTGGAATCGCTTATTCTAGTTCCAGCCATCATTTGCCGCACGCTCGACATGCCACCTGTGGTGGTGGGGACGCTTTCACCGCCCAGAATTCGGACATGTCTCACGAGCTCGATCGTAAGGCGTCGCACCAGCTGCAGCTGATCCACTTCAAGCATGGCTCTATCTATCTGTTCTATCTCATCTACCTGAATAACAAATCAAATATTTCTATACATGCAAAAGACGAATTGGAAACCAAAGAAAATTCAAAGTATTTCCCTAGGATATGGCTGAGGTATGTGGATGATGTGTTTGCGATATACGATTACAAAAATCGAATGTTGAGGACTTATGTTGTGAAATATATGGTCCAATTTGAAATTTTTAGAAAAATCCGCCAACCTGTAAAACCTAATAAAACTATACTGTGAAGTTTTCAAATTTACATGGGGTGTGGGCTGGTTTTCTTTTAAATTACCATGCCATGGAATAAAACCAGAGACCCTGACCCTGAACGATGTAGAGAACAACTAGTGCTCTGCATTCATTGCCACATAGTTGTCTTTGATAATATCAACCGCAGCTTAAATAAAATATCTGCATAAAAACCTGCAGACCACTGCCAACACACTCAGAAAAAAGCTTTGACACAGTTATCTATGACTGTTCGAAGATTTACCACTCTGTATAAAAAGAGTTATTCAGAGAATTCATAAACCAAAGTAGATGCTCTAGTTATGAAGGCGTCACATGCCATGCTTTATAGGAAGAAATATGAAAGGAAGCATTCAAAAGTATTTATCTTGATGCTCAGGAGAAGAAAATTCATTTTGAGATCCCCTTGTTAATAACGAGAACACAGACGTTTGTTTGAAGGTGGTTGACAGTGTTTCGTGGTCCATTTCATTTGTTCGGACTTCTATTGTCTAATATGATATAAATTGATTTGAAATCCCTGAATTCATAAAAATTAAAAAGATTAGCTAAAAATAACAATTATTTACTGAGATATTATTTCAGTGAATACTCATTAAATGCACTCGAAATAAGCACCATTTGAATCAATGCACTTTTGCCAACACAACACAAGTCCATTGATTAGAATATACGTCACCAGTCTGGTCTCATCATTATAAAGTACATATAAATAATATTGAAGCAATGCAGACTTGTTGCCTTCAAATATGACCTCACAGTTGGAGAATATGATTATTCAGACATACTTGATATTGCGAAATTCAACATCCTTTTTTTCGTAGAACAGATAACGATATCATTACCTTATTTAAATTTATATCAGGTGACATTGATTGTAATAATGTATTACGTGAATTCTCATTTCGAGTACCTGTTTGTTCAACTAATCACCTTACTACCTATGGATACTTCTCACCCATATCAAGGTTTATGCGAGAAGCTAACTGTCTTAAAATTATAACATTACAGGAATTTCACTGAATACTTTTAAATTATATGATTTAAATTTTATATAGTTAAATTCATATGTGTAAATCTATAGAAACATTTAGGTTAGGTTAGTTTTCAAGGTATAGAACAGTCCAAACCACGTGACCCAATATGGCGGCGTAGGGCAAACAATCAGGCATCATTGGTTTTGGTGTCGTTCTCTATTTTGGAGTGTTTTTTCACATTTTTGAAGCTTTTGTGATGTTTAAATTCAATCAAAATGGAAATTGAATACATCTGTTTACATTTTCATCATTGTGTTACAGATATATAATGAAGTTGAGATTAGTCAATGGTTCAGACCCTTTCTCATTGAATGTTTCTAGTCTGGATTATCCAATTGATGGTGTTCCTCCAGATACATATGTGGATATTGCTTAGTATTTAGTTTTTACCCACAGCTTTTATTCGCATGTGCAGATGAAGATATATAAAGGTTTGGAATCCTATAAATATTTCTAATCTAGCTTCGTTGTGAAGGTGGCAACAAAGATTGAGAACAATTTATACATTTTAGTTGGACAGGTGAGTTTTTGTAAGCTAGTAGTATGCTAACTTTCTGATTTCCTAATGGTATAGTTAATGCATCTAAGAAGCGATACACGTGAAACTGTGTGACTTGTTATGTTTTTTGTCGTCTTTGTTGATCAAGAGAATGATTCAATTTTTCAGTTGAACGTCCCAGAGTGATTCTTAGAGAAGATACTAATCTTAATAACTTATTTTCAGGTCAAGCATTCACATAAAGCAAATGTGAAACCTTTAGATGTTTGGTACATCATAGCAAAAGATAGAAGTCATCTCTAGGTTCATCATTATCAAAGTCAATATCCATATAAGACGGGTTCATTCTGTCAACAAAATACATTTCAAAATCATGTTAATACATAAGTATTTCACCTGAAACAACACCACTTACTTGAGATAATTTTCTTTTATCCAACCTTGCTTTTCTTTCAACATCTTTACAAGTCTTTCGAACATTTTGTGCGAATGTCCCGTGTTCTGCGAAGGAACCCATCCTCTAAAGAAGCAGGTTAGCCTGAAAATAATATGTATAGGTATTATCAAGTAGTTTTCACTAAACACAAAATAGCTTTCAGTGGAGACCTGAAGTATCCAGAGACTCACCTGTTATAAGATGTCTGCTGCAGACTTTCTGATACTTGATCTTCGAATCCGTAAGATCATCTCGCTTGATTACAGCTAACCATAGGGCTCTTCGCTTTCTGGATAACTCATTTTTATTAGTCAAAAACTTGTGTTTTCAAACTGTAAGAACTGAGTAAAACCCGACTTTATCCCTGTTGTTACGAGATCCACAGCCAACCACAATGCACGTAATGGGTATTTCCCTTTAGTTAAAGCACTAATTATTAATTAAAATTCAAAAACAGAACCAAACTACGCACAGGATATCAGAAAAAGAAAAAATAACTACTATGGTCGCATATGATAAAATACAATGTTTGCCCTACGCCGCCATATTGCATTCGTTTTGACAGGTCGCTGGATTGGTCTATTACTGTATTTGTATATTTCTTTTTCCTCATGAGGATTACCCATACACATGACTAAAAACATAACTAATTAAATAATTTCGTCAGCATAAAAATTGTGTGCTCCGGATTCAACGAAGTTGACGAAGGCAGTTTTTGCCTGGTCCTGATTGGCGAAAGTTCTACCGGTGAGAAAGTTATCGAAGTGGCGAATGGTCTAGGGAGAATGGGTGGCCGGTGTCCAATCACTGTCCTGAATGTCTTATGTTGTCGAAGATGATCCACTTTTCATCATACTTAATGATCTGATCTAAATAAATATGGGTCATTTTTGTTGCGTAAAAGCAAAGAAGAACAGACCTCGAAACGTGACAATTTCTGTTGACCCTTCAAGCCGTGGAGCACTCACTTTTCGAGATTTTTGATCTTTCCAATACGTTTTAAATCATCAAAAACCGCATGGGAGTTGACGTCCAATTCTTTCGTCATACCACGCACCGTTTGCAAAGAGTCAGGACCAGGGTCTTCAAATCCTCGTCCTGGATTTTCATTTCAGGGCTTATCTTCGAGGTTTAAATTTTGCAAACCAACGTCGAACAGTGCATTCATTAACATCATCATTGCCAAACGACAGGTTAATTTTTGGGCAGCGCTTTGGTTCAATTTGAATTCGTAGAGAAAAATTCTCCAAGAATCACTCAACGACATCATATTGTAAACAATTTAAATTTAGAAAAAATGAACAGCATTGATGTATAAAGTACAACATTCTCTATCGATCAGTATACTTTAATATCGTTTAATGTCTTAAGAACTAACATCTTGTTGACAAACACTTTGTAACTCTAATGCGTGTTACCATACGATAGATGCAATATATGAAATAGGGAATAAGCTTTTTTCCATTGGCAGGTACTTATTAAACACTAAGTTACAATATGAATAAAATCAAAGATTATTTCCTGGAAAATATTGTGATTTTGAACAAAGGAAAAACTAACTGAATAATGTTCAAAATCAATCATCATTTTTGGCAACCAAATATTTCCTGTAAAACGATGGTGAGATTTTTTAATGTTCAAATTGATGATGATGGTTTTTGGGGTGTGTGTTCAACCACATGCCATCAATTATTACTGATACTCAAACGTGCAGTACGATGCATATTTAAAGCCCAGCCTAGGGATTCTTGTCGGCCTCCCTTCATCTCTGATTCCTAACTGTGGTCTTCTTATTTATATATGAAATGATCTGCATTCTCTTTAAAAATAGGAACTTGTTCAACAATTTGGAGGAACCAGTGTATCAAACCAGGCAACGATTCAGCTTAAAATTATCGCTGCCTTTTTCAACCCTAGTTGAAGATTCCATTATTTACAACGGTCTCAAAATGTTCAATCACCTTCCTTAAGCTATAAGAACCATAAATGACCTTAGCGCTCTTAAGAAAGTGTTGCTTTATGTGAAACCTTATTATAGCTTAGCAGAATTCTATAATGATAATATTACTGGAGTTTTATCTCAACACCAAACCGTTATTTTAACACTTCGATACGTGTTTCGATCACCAAGTGATCTGTAATTGATTTGATTTGTTTTGATTCAATTCAATTTAAAGTAATTTATATCATTTTATTGACCATGTTATTCTAAACGTTTTTATTAGGTTATTGTTATTTACATGTCTCTTTTCAGTTCATGTATCACTTACTTTTTGTGATTTTACTTTTGTGATTACACAATTTTTTTAAATTTATTTATTTAAGGCAATGCCTATTTTTTACAAGATAATTAACAAGTTCACACATATATATTTAACAGTAATCTAAGCTAGGTTTAAGGCAAAAATATATAAAATAAAATGTACTTTGAAGATTTCCGAATTTCTTGTTCTCCTTGGATTCACATTTAAAGTTATAAGTTCGACAAGTTCCGAGGAATTGATGCTACCATTGATTATTTTATGAATTAGTGTAAGATCTGCTTCTAATCTTCTATGAGCCAGAGTATTCAAGTTAAGAATATCCAAAATAATTTTATAGTCATATTCACCAATATGATATCCCAGTTTATATGCAGAGTACCTTAAAAACTTATTTTGAACACTTTCAAGCATATCAATATCCACATGATATGAAGGGCACCAAATTGTGGAATTGTATTCGATTATTGATTTAATTGAACAATATATGATTTTTATTGAAGTGAGAGATGTTTCATTTGCAGATCTAAGAAGGAAACCTAACATTTTTAGCGCTTTAAAAGTAAAATTTGCAATATGGGGTTTAAATGACATTTGTGGGTTGAGAGTGATTCCTAAATCTCTGATTGTGTTTGTTGTTTTCAATTCTGATTGATTGATTTTATATGGCCAGTTAATGGGATTTTTGTTCCGGAAAAAAATAAATTTTTGACATTTGTCTATATTTAATAGCAGTAGATTTATATCACACCCGCGAACAAAGTTAGATAAATCGTACTGTAATAATTCTGTATCAGTTGAGTCATGAATAACTTTAAACATCTTCAGGTCATCAGCAAACAAAAGAAATTCACTATAAAGGATAACATCTTTCAAGTCATTTAGAAATAGGTTGAAAAGCAATGGCGCTAAATGAGAACCCTGTGGTACACCCGATGAAACTGTGATTGAGGAAGATACCGAGTTACCATATTTTACAAATTGTACTCTGCAGGCTAGATAATTTTCAATCCATTTCAGAATGTTTTCTTGAATACCCAAAGCGTTTAATTTATGCAACAACAAATTGTGGTTTACTCGGTCAAATGCCTTTGAAAAATCTGTGTAAATAGAATCCACCTAGTGTCTATTTTCAAAGGCATTTATTATGCCCCTTCCAATTATATGTTATTTATATTTTTCACCCGGCTTTGTCGATAAGAATTTATTCTTCAGACAACAAAGTATATTTTGAATTGAATTCAATATTATCTGGAGGATATTTCATAAGATGGTACACAGGTACAATCCCAGAGCAGCAAATTTCGGTCTGGATGGTTAGAGGTTACCCACGGAGATCAGAAGAGCGTCTTCTGTCTGCTATATGCAGATAGGAGGACATCTCCCTGAAATGCGTCACAGGAGTCCTACTTTCCAAGCCTCACTAGATTGAGAAAAATGTAACGGTGGTGTGTTAACCTTGTAGAGGATTTTTTTTCACAAAGAAATTAAGGTCCTGATAGCAGAGCACATACTCTGTGCCAGCCCTGCCATAGGCCGGATAAGGTTTCCTACTTTTGCCAGCTGACCTGAAATACTACTCACTAAATAAAGTAATCAGATTCATTGAGAAGCTGGATTTATTTAGTGGAGTTTGAATAGGTGTGAGCCATACTGAAACCCCACGGCTGCAGTTTTTTAGTCCTACCTACCTCCAAGACAAGGTGGTGGAAAATGAAAACTCGGGGATATATGAAATAAGACGTACGGACTAAGTGACAAAAAGTACATTGGTCATACTAAACGAGCTGTTATAACTAGTTTCAAAGACCACGCTGCACATATCCAATTTTGGAAATTGCATCTTTTTAAATTCTGGAAATAAAGTCTTTCACAATGAACAATAAACAAAAGTGAAGTGTACCCTGTTAGATTTAATTACCGGTGGTTATTAGTCTAGTCTATCTCCTCAAGGTACCAACATGACAGGTAGAACGCGCATCGAGAAGAGTATCGCAGTTTTGGTGTTTGGTAACAGTGCTTATTTTGGAAAGTTGAATGTTCTATTAAAATTTGGACCAACTGAATCAATCTTACCCTCCATCTGACGACATTCTCCAGGCTGGATTCCAATTCTTGAACAATATTCGAATACATCGCACTGATGGACGGTTCGGGCAGGGTTGTAGGATCTGCAGGATGGTCGGCATCGGGAGGAGGAGGAGGGGGAGGTGGGGAATCGTCTTCGGAATTTTCCAATTCTGAATAGTTCATGAGCTCGTCGATACCAAAAGTATTGGAAGGGCTTTGTCTGGGACCTGGTTGTGAAAACGAAAGCAAATTTTAGAAAAGTGGTGGTAATATTTGGTGCTGTATATGGACTTCTAGATTCAATTCTCGGAATTCATCCATCCAAAACTAGGAAAATATATCGGTAGTAACTAAATATCAGATATCATAAGATATTTAATTTTATTAGATGACTAAAAGTTGGCCAGTAACTTCTTTCCTCGGCTTTTTACACCCGTATGTATTCATGTATTCTATAAACCTACCTACTTCATCGAATTACTATGCTGAAACCATAATTGTGAAATTGTTGGATTCGTTTGAAAAAATAAAGCTCTAATTTGTGCAAATGTGCCACACAGGAGGTGTAATTATTCATGTGAATTCAAATATTAACTAAAGTCCATTCGAAACGTTTGTTCTTGATGACAATTAGTGGTGTAGTAATATAATTAGTTTTTGGCTAAATAGAACTAATAATTGGATCTTTGAATCGTTCTTCATCTGGTTCAGATGCTGTATTTATGGGAACCTTTGAAAACAATAGTTGTGAAACTAGCAAACGTAAATGTATTTTAGTTGGTGATTTCAACTTCATTCTTCTAAATCAACACAATTTTTATAGTACTACAATTAAGACATTGTTTCTACAATATGGAACAGACCAATCGGTCAATTAACCTACTAGAGTTACAAATGAAAGTCAAACTTTAAGTTAATCACACTTTTGCTAGAGCACATGTACATTTTTCGCCCAAGGTTAGCGATCACCATTTGATTTCGATTGATGTGGTTAACAGTAATAACATTGGTAAACTTAGAATCAGTTAAAAGATTCAGAAATATTAATGAAACTAACTCAAATAAAATCGATTTGGAGTTATTATATTATGATTGGAATCTAAATTTAAACAATGTAAATTATTTATATGAAGGAATTCTTACAAGCCGTCATACAGTAGTCAACAATATGCACCAATAAAAGTCTCTAATTTTGAGTGTAGCATTCATTAATTCAACAATGGGGTTCACAATAAAATAATAAACTGTTACAAAGCATATATAATTTTTGAATACTGTACTGCTAATGAAAAAAACGAAAAACGGGAATTATTTAAGAGATTTGGAAATGGGGTTAACTTGTAGAAAAAGAAGTTATTTTTTCAAAAGTATTGACAGATACAGAAATAACGTACAATTGATATGGAAAACTCTAAAGAAACTAACTGGTAATGAAGCTGAAAAATTTCCGAATCATGTTGAATTTTATTATACCAAACAAATTGTAAAAAAATGATAATGACATGCATTTTAGAAATAGTTGATAGTATTGATAATACTGAGAACTGGAGTTTTCATAATTATAATTAATAAATTCAATATTTATGAAATTCTTGACTCCAAAATGTTGAAATATGTATTTGAAGTTACGGGTCATGTAATTATAAATTTTAGAAATACCTCTTTGGAAACCCCTATAATTCAAGATGGCTCAAAAGTGAATAACAAATAATGCGAATGAATTTCGACCTATAAAACTCTCCCTCTAATTGAAGAAGTTTTAGAACTAGCAGTTCATAATCAATTGCTGGGTTATGCAGAAAAAATGAAATTGTAATTAATAGTCAATTAGGCTTTAGGAAAAAATATTCTTCTGAAACTGTGATACAGTTTCAGAAGAATGAGATAGATAATGGTAAATATGGGAATGTTATGTTTCTTGACCTCATGTTTCTTGACGTTCAAAACTATTGATCGAAATAGTCTCTTGACCAAACTAAAATGATATGGCATAAGTGGTAGTTGTTCTAAATTGTGAAAATTCTATAATTATTATCATAGATGTATGTGGATATACTTTTCAACACGTTTGCGATTCTAAGACAACTAAGTTTTAAAATTCTGTTAAAAGTCTGTTGGAAAAACGTGAAGAGGCAGATTCAATCATCACTTCCAAAAAAAAGGATCATGAATTTTGATAAAGAATTTTTATGTGCTTTTGTTCAGCACAAAAGTAATATGAAATTGATAATTCACTTCTGTTATTCTTCAGCTTACAGGTACTATCTCCTTTCTTTGAGGGCCTTATTGCTATTGTTACTTACCCATCCTAGTCCTACCCACGGTATGGGTGGTAACGTTCCTTCTCAATCTGCTGGGACCTGATCTGGACGCACTCCTTGTGAAATCCACCCTGGTCGGCATGAAGGCAGATATCCTGTGCGAGAAAAACCTCCTTCTATTTGCTGCAGGTCCTCCACTAGAAGTGTACACTGTTGAATTCGTGGTTCCCGTGCTGTTGCTCGGCACGGTACCAGAACCATTCGTTGTTCTTAAACCAGAATCCCGAACTGCCTCTGTTGCTCTCAACCCGGCATCTGCTTCAGCCTGTCTAAATCGCGCCTCTAAAGCATCCCTCAATCGCATGAAAGGCAAAGATGGAGAACCTCTCGAACTCGCGTCCAAAGTAGCCTGTCTCAATCGCGCTTCCATAGAGAGCTGCCTCACCTGAGCATATAGAGAAGCCTGCCTAAATCGCGTATCTGAAGATGATTCCCTGGAACCCAAGTCCATAAATGAATTTCTCAAACCAGTGTCCATAGGTGAATCACTTAATCGCGCGGCTAAAGACGATTCCCGAAGTCGCGCGTCCAGAGACGATTCTCTCCGACTCGCGTCTACAGACAATTCACTCAATCGCGCGTCTCTAGACAATCCTCCCGGCCGTGCTTCTCTAGACGATTCTCTCGATCGCGTGTCTCTAGACGATTCTCCCGATCGCTCGTCTCTAGACGATTCTCCTGATCGCGTGTCTCTAGACGATTCTCCCGATCGTTCGTCTCTATACGATTCTCCTGATCGCGTGTCTCTAGACGATTCTCCTGATCGCGCGTCTCTAGACGATTCTCCCGATCGCGCGTCTCTAGACGATTCTCCCGATCGCGCGTCTATAGACGGTTCTCTCGTGCGTTCGCCATCGAAGCGGTTCTGAAACACCTGAATGAATTCCTGGAACAGCAAGTTTGTTGGGAGCGGGGAGATTGTAATGGGTGCCACAGTAGCCGAAGAGTTATTTGCTTGTGATGAATTGAGGGGCGTGTATCGCTCATGACTGTGTGGTGGTATCGAGTGACAACCGTAACTTGTTGTAGTAGGCAAAGGGGGCCTTGTTCCCAAAGATATTAAACGAGGAGGAGAATCTGCAATAAAAATTCAGATTTTTATATCTCTGTATGAAAACTAAGAATTGTTTTAGTTCTCTCACTCACCCTGATTATCTTCTGATGGAGGTGGTTGAGTACTTGACGAAGGGTTTTCATTTGCTTCTGTGCTGTCAGTCTCGTTTCTCTCAATTTCCGTCAGTAGGGAAGTCAAAAGCTGCTCCAGCTCAGTATTGAAATTTCTAACGGTGTTACTGTTTCCAGTGGTCATTAGAATAGGACTGCTATTTAAGAAAACAATGTTAAAAAAGTATGTTAACTGAAGCGGTTTTCCAGATTGAACAATATACAAAAATTCACCTGAATAAGCTAAATTGGACTCTTTTCAAAAACCTAAACCTGAATGTATATTTTATACGAATGCGAAGGAATTTGAAAAATATAAACTTTTTCTAAAAACTTGCTTTAAGGGCCTTCAGTATTTAAAAAGATGTAACAAAGAACATACATTTTTCTCCAATTCATCATTGTAATTTATGTATTATTTATTGGTGATGTTTTGAAAAATTATACAAACCAAATATTGATATTATTTGAATGTCACTTAATGTAGCTAAATGTAGAACTGTAACGTATATAAAGTATTTCTTTTTTTCATTTTCATATAATCTGAATGAAACTGCCTTATTTTCACTAACATTGTTACCTTAAAAACTTTATATTTTTCTTATGTTAGGTTAAAAACCTAACTATACTAAACTAAATTATACGGGTAGCTCTCGGAATGAACAGAACATATTGCGCATATACTACCAAAATGTTAGAGGCATCAGAACTAAAATCACGACATTAGAACTTAACGCAGCTATCAGTGCTTATGATGTTATTGTTTTCACTGAAACCTGGCTCTACGATAATATCCATGTTGAGGAACTTGGTTTATCTCAATACAACTTATACAGGAAAGATCGGTCTATACTAACAAGTCAGAAATCTCGTGGAGTCAATGGACCGAGAATAGACCCTTGTGGAACGCCTTTTGTGCTCAATATAAAAAAAATAAAATATTTTTGTTAATTTTCTTACCTGTTGTTCGCTCCTGTACTGCCGATAGTATTCACAGATGAGGAGTTGTTACCACGGGCCGTTATGGATTCGGAACTGTGCCTACCCAGCCGAGCATTGGAAGCGAGCTCTTCCTCCGAAGAACTACTACCCGAAGTGGTATCCGTCATATTATTGGGCAGCCTTCGGCTTGGAGTCTTCATAAATACTGGATACATTTGTCTAAAGCGCATTCTTACGTGCTCCCTGCTGCTTTCGAAAAGTCTGTAGTGATAAAAAGTTGGTAATAATAAGAATTTAATTATTATGTCGCCAGATGATATTAAATAGGTGTCCGTAAATAAGTCTACACTAACCTTATCAATTCGGCTCTGTCGTTGGCTGGAACAGACCTGATGATCGGCAGAATTCTATTCCTGACTTCTTCCTCTGCAGTTCTTCTTATACTAGACAGTAGCTCGTCCACATTATTCTGTGCGGTCAAATTTGAAGAGTCTCCTTCTCTACTATTGCTACTACTACTACTTCCAGGGATCTGATCGATAAGATGAGAATGAATTTCCCTTTCCATTTGGATTTCGTTCTGGATAGATACTGCCCTAGCGTACGACTCCCCAGGTAAACTATTGATGGCTGACTGGATAGAGCTGAAATATTCAATAAAGTATAATGAATATATGAGCTACTAAGTAATGTTGACCAAAATCATATTTGAGTATGAGAAGAATGAAGGGAAATCCTGAATCTTATATTTTTTATCAGTCAGACATTCCCATCTTCAATTTTATAGCTGTAGTCATAATATCACAACACTTTGGAATTGGGAAAGAAACGTTTTTGGCTTTCTACGTCTCAATCTTTATATACAAAATGTGGGAATATTCCAAAACCATTCTTTCCAATATTATTTATACTTTTGATTTTGGAAATGTAATCAAACTTTGCCACATAATGTTTTCCACCAACAATATGCAGTTACACCATTCATTCTTCCCAGAAAATATCGGTAATGAAATTGAAAAAATAAACTAACTACTAGATCTAAAAGTCATTGCCTGAAGGTAAATGGCAGATAAAAAAACGGTATTACATTTTGTTAGTAAATACTACAGAAAAAAAACGTAAAAAATATGCATTAGAAATCAAAAAATCTCAGAGGTGCAATTTGGGATTGATTATTGTGGATAAGAACTGAGATTCAAATTCCATATTTGTCGTATTTGCCAAATATTTTTTGCAATGAAATCGTATACAAGTAATGTAAAGTTTGTGACTTATATATGGGATGAGAAGGCAATGAAATATATCACACATCGTGAATGAGCATAAATGGCTGAATATAGCAAGGGGAAGATTAATGCATTTGTATAGATATAGAAGATTTATAGATAGATTTATTTGAAATAGATATCCTAATATACATAAATATTAAGTATTATCTGTTTCACAAAATCATCAGCTCAAAAACTCCACCTCACCTATCAAATAAATTTTTTTCAAGGAGTATATTCATAATATAAATGTTCATATTAATGGAACTATTACACCTCCAGTTAATAGAACAATCACATATGAAAGATCTTTTTCTCATTAACTGTCAAAAGTTTATAATTCAATTTCTCAAGATTTAAAGACTTTGAGTGAAGATGCCTTCAAAAACAGAATGAAAACTTATCTCCTCGATGAACAATTGTATGTGTGTATGTAGGTAGATGTAAGAAGACATGGATAGATATAAGTATGAGTCAATTATTTTCGTTTCACTATTGTATCATCTATGCTTAAGAATAATTACAAAGATATACAAACCACCTGATCTTCGATGTTATCCCAATGTCTTAATGTTGTTCTTATTTTAAAAAATTCGATTTATATGTATTACCTAAGAATTGAAGAATTATATTATTATTACTATTATTATTACTATTTTTAATCATATTATTTAATTCGGAATCAGCAATATTTTGAACCATTTCAAACTACTTGTAATTCCCAGCAAATATCATGTGCGAACTATATACATTGATAAATGTATTGAAATGTAACAGGCACATGAGTGGTGTTCGTGGCACTTCTCTGGGCACACCTCTATCTCGATAAAAAGTATACAATCTCTATCAACGTGTTGGTTCTACAAATGCTATGACCTAATTCACCTAGATCGTTCTGACCTACCTCATATACAATATTTTTTGCTATAAATTGTAGACCTATATTATTCATTCCAACTTTGACTTTATGATCACAAAATAGATTAAGCACAAAATAATTTGGAATTCATTATACAGTGTGGCCCATTTTTGATGGAAACACCCCCCTAAAATTTGAAGTTGTAAATTTGAAATGTTTTTTAAAGTTTCAGGGCATACAACAATATTTTTTCTTGGTCGAAAATCGGGATTTTTTATTAGCGATTTTTTTATTGAAAAACTCACAAAAATTCGAAAACTCACACAGTTAATAGTCACAAAAAACACCCTATATCAACAGATATAGCCATGAGAATACTTTTTTTATGATTTCAACAATAAAGCGCCGCCAGATGAAAAAAACAAAAACAAATAGCGTAAATATTTTTAATGAAAATAACGGAATTTTACATTCACACAATTCAACTAACAATGAAGCAAAAAATTTTAATAAACGTAACTAATAACTAATTATTGAAATGTTTCGATTCAGTGCAACAATTTGAAAACTTGAATGTAATTCCGTTATTTTCATTAAAAATATTTACGCTATTTGTTTTTTTTTTCATCTGGCGGCACTTACAATTAGCTTCAACAATTACCTTTCAGGAATACTGGAAAGTGGTTAGTTTTGAAAAACGCTCACCTTTCTTCGTCCTCTCCGCTTAACCTGACGGCATCATTCACGGTCAGATCACTCTGACTAGGAACATTTCCATTATCTGTATTGTTGGTCATTCCATTCTGTTGTACCACGTAGTCGCCGTTCAAATCATTACTTCTCATCCTCTTCTCTTTTGGTTCTTCACAGTCTTCCGATTTGTGTTTCCTAGATTCAGAAGTTTGCGTGCCTCGGATGAGCGTATTGGGCTTCTTAATGACTGAGAATATGCGGCTGGGAGTCAACAGATTTTGAGATTTTTGGGGGGAATTAGAGGAAGTACTAGGTGTGGGAGAGTTATCTGAAAAAAAAAACAAATATAAGAAGTGCAGAAAGCCTACAAAAATCGTCAATTTCAACCTCCAGTGTTTGCATCTTCTCCCTCAATACGTGAGTTACCAGATGTACTAGGGCCGGTGTTTCCAGAGGTAGAAGGTCCAGGATCAACATGGCCGGTACTTCTAGATGTGCTAGGAATCGCACGATCAATATGATCGGTACTTCTAGAGGTGCTCGGAATTGCAGGATCAGCGTGACCTGTACTTCTAGAGGTGCTTGGAACTGTGGGGTCGACATTTTGAGTATTCTCACCATTCTCTGTATATTGCACAAAAGTACTAGTAGTGGTACTACTCGTACTTGGTTGAGGTTCCGTTGTTTGGGTACCACTATTGTTAATCCATGGATTCGGCTCCATGGGATCAGTACCGCGGTCAATCTGGAAACAACAACAATTCTCAACATTGATAAATTATGATATATATTTTTATAGTCGGCTATCCAGGTTTCCAAACATTGTTTTGCTTATGTTAGGTTAATTCAGACAAAATTTATCAACTGCTTGGACTAAAACAAAAAAAGGTTCACAACTTATATAAAACAAATATGTTTGACAGTATTCAAATATTTTGAATGTTATTGTCATTGTAAGAATTTTTTCAAACATTTTTCAAAGTAATAGTATTATAACTGATTCTCTCCTATTAATGAAGCAATTTTCAACTTACTTCATATAAAGAAAATCTTGTGGTTAGTTCAGAGTGAGTCCAGTAAGTCATATGAGGTTAACAACTTGCAGAGGTTCACCCATTCGTGATAGTGGTGAGATGTAATAATATCTACTTTTGGAATGTATGTGTATTTTCAATGACGGGCGAGTTTTATAGCCAAATAGTAATAATATTCCTCCTATTGAAATAACTATGTATCATGTTTAAATGAATAATAATTACTAGATACATATTCTTTATTAAAATCATAGAGAAGTGGATACAACTTGAGACCTATCCTATTTTGACTTATGTGAATAATGTAACAATGCACAATGTATCAGGAGCATTCACTCCTTTTGCTTTTGGCAGTGTCAACATAAAATAAGTTAAAAAGAGTGTGGCTCATATAATAAACCAGTTGAAGTAAAGGAGGTGCTAATCCAGACAGTATTTTGAATATTAAAATCATGGAGAAGTGAAATATCCTATCCTTGACAGAAAGCCAGACCAGTACTAAGAACATAGTCCTAAGGGAGGTATATCTGTTACACTTCAGAAGCAATCACATTCTCCTATTCTAGCCTATTCTCCAAAAATAATAGGCTAGAAAAGTTATCGAAATGAGACTGTATAATTGTTTTGAATATTGTAACAGATGTTTGAAAATCAAGGCAACAGTTGAATCTTATGAAGAGAAATTACTTTCTTGCAATTTTGTTACCAATATATTGAAAGTGTTTTCAAAATTAAATGTGTTGTCAAGTATTTGAAATTATCAACAACAGCAATGGATTCATCATCAATCTTGATGTTGATTGTACTAATATCTAATGAATTGTATTTGTAGCGTTGTAATAATAATTGCTTTGCTCTTTTGATATCATTCAGATACAGAAAAAAAGAGGTCCAAGCACACTTCCTCGAGGAACACCTATACTATTTGTTTGCTTGATTTATGATTATTCACTTGGGTGCGTTGTGACCTACTTAGCAATTAGCTAGAGAACAAGTTAAGAACCGTGCCAGTAAGATCATAGAAAAATTAGCAAAATTTGAATGTCTATTGTCTCAAAGGCTCTCGAGAAATTAAGGAATACAACTATGATATATTTGTTACCATTTATCGCTACTTTCCACTTCGATAATGTTAGCTGAATGGGGAATGTTCATCCTGACGAAAATCGAGTAGTTTTCATAAAAGAGCTCTAAAACAACGCATTTCAAATGTATCATTTCATCCTTTTTCTTTGAAAAATAATTCAAATACTTAAAAAAGAGGAATGAAATAATGCATACAACATTTAAAAGGGTTCGTTTCTATTTCATCTTTTGGCAACATCGGTTACAGCTAATAATGGACAATGAATCTGTTACCTGTATGAGACGAACAAAGATGACATATTTCAGATGCGTGCTTTACTTATGTTCCGAGTTCCGAGACATTCTGTGACATATGACATTTTGTGCACCTAACCTATCTTCCTCTATATAAATAAATAACAAAACAACTGTTGTTTATGTGGCTTGTGGAGGTGGTATTGAACTATAATTTATATTTTGCCCTAATTGTTGATTTATAAAGATAATTTTCCTTTTTTAAAGGATACGATTATTAATCATATCTAGATACGATTAAATTATTTCAACTTGATAGGGGCTGTTGCCAATATGTGAATTAGAAACAAATCGCTTTAAAAATTAAAACCCAACATATGAAACATCAATTTGAATACTTTTCGAAGTGAATTTGAAAAACTCATGAATTAAACTCAACTTTATTTTGTTCAAATTTGCATTTGCTGCAATAACCCAAATTGAGGAATATTCCCCATTGCTGTCTCACATGAATGTTCAGATCTAAACCTTCATTAATATTCCATCATTCTGAATATATTCACGTAACTGCTCATAGAGACAGCCATTTCTAAGACTTTTTCTAATGACGGTAGGATATTAATGGACGAAAATTACTAGTTTCAGTAGTATTATTTACTTTTAGATACTGGAATGATTGTAATGATTTTGAGTTCTGAAAAAAATGTGCCTGTAAATAACAAAGTATTAACAATGTTCAAAACAACATGTCCTATAACTTTCATAATACTTTATTGTTGATGATAGAGTTGCACCTGTTATTTAGTTTGAAGACTTTAGTTTTCAATTCCATCATGGTTAATGGTTCGAATGTTAGAGATTAAATAATTCCTTACCATTGTCGGTGGTCTATATAGTTGCAAATATCTATGTACAAGTTGCTCATATTCTCTAACTAAATTTCTGTAACACATAGTGATTCTTCTCTCTCTATCCGACAAACCCACATCTGTCGTGACAGTGACATTGCGAGCAGATTCTGATGACGCGGGATTCTGAAAAATATACCGAATAACATTTTGAGTAACAAAAATTGAAAATAAAATCTTACTGGAGTCACTCTGACATTACTATTGTGACTGACAAGTCTTTGAGTGATTCTCCTTCTATAAGGACTGGCACAACGTTCTTGCCTAGGAACTGGTACAGGAGCACTCACCCTTTCCCATCTAGTCATTGGGCTATTTGCAATGCCCGTAATGAGTTTGTGACCCAAGGAATCAAAAGCCACATAACGTACCTGCAATATTTCCCAAAATCAATAAATTTATCAAAATTATAATAACCACTAATCATACCTTTTCTTTAGTATTGTATGTCGCAGCTTGAACAAAAGGTTCAGATTTACTCCAATCCCAAAAGTAAACGAAATTAAAAGTAGCAATGGCTAATACTCTATCGTTAGGGTGAAAAGCTAATGAGGCTATGACGGTACCATTTGAGGTGGTCCAAACCTCACTTCCACCCTAAAAAATAAATAAATTTTAAAAAACCTCACAAAATAAAAACTCATTGATAACATGAAGAACGAAAAAGTTATAGGGGTGACCTGAATCAGTTTTTACAATTTAAGTTGTGTTTAGGGTCATGACTTTCATATATTGATTGCGTGTGTGGGGTCTTCCATTAATCAATTGATGTTCTAGTATTCTACATCTCTTGGACAAAAATGTCCAAAATGTTTCTCTAAAATAATCTGTTCCAAAATAACTATTTTATTTTAATCAAGAATAACTTTTTGTCGAAAAACCCTTAATAAATAAGTTTCCCATATGGTGCATATTTTGTGGATGACACTGTATAGCTTATTTCGAGAATTATAACAAGAATTTGCTCTTTTCACGGCATTACTGTAGGCTGGGTTTAAGGCTGTCACTCGGGCTAAGTATTGGAAAAAGTGTGGTCTATGAAGGTCTATGCCTGTACCAAAAATCAAATCTCTGCTTTCAAAAATGACAAATACAGGGGTGTCTTCATCTTAAGTGTGTCACACTGTATAACATTTTTCAAAACACTGACAATTTTTCCATGATTATTATAATAACTATCAACATTTTAATGTGTATTATGAATTTCTAGTTGAAATAAATAAATCAACGAACATAAAAAAGTATAACTCACACTCAGGTCCCATATCCGAACCTGGCCTCCCAAGCAGCCTGAAGCAATAATTTGATTGGACGTCGGGTGAAAGGCTATACACCATGGAGTCCTTGGATGCCCCACTAAAGTTTTGATATGTTTACCGCTTCGCAGATCAGTGATATAAATATTGTGATTACCATGGGTTGAGGCTACCTTCGATCCATCCGGACTGAAGACCATCAAGAAGGTTGATCTGGGAGTACCAGGCATCTCACATCGCTAAAAAGTATATCAGAATAATTAATACAGAAAGTTATTGAGCCACTCAACTACTAGTTGAACTAGAGTTACTACAAAAACTAGTTTTCCTCTATAAGGTCTCTCGTCCACTGAGAGCCGAATGAGTTGCGATGAGTTACGAAATCAATTCGTCAGAATTCGCACAACTTACGAACGATCCAATCACATGGATCGTTAGGGAACTGTGTCCACTTGGCCCATATTGTTCGTCAGTTTTCGTCCGACTGGGTACGAATTGCGAAATGACCTTCTGCTGGTATTTGATCTAGTGCAAAATTAGTTACAATGTATTGAAATGTCTTTTCTCATTCGAAAATGAGAAAAGTGGTGGTAATCGTTGATTTGAAGATCATGCTACAAATGAAAAAATTTACCGAACTCCTTTCTTTTTACGTAAACGGGATTCACCCACATTTCCCGCCTTCGTCGATATCGTCTGTGCCTAATATGACGATGAATCAAAAGTGATAATTCCAAAGCAAAAAATTCTTCATCAGACTAATTGAAAAACCAGTTCCAAAGAACCTCCTCACCTACTACGAATCCGGACGAATACTGAGCAGTGGACGATGTGCATCGCACGCTTTCGTAAGAACGACGTTCGCACGAATTCGTTGCTTCACAGTTCGTAGCTTTCCGCTCCCAGTGGACAAGAGGCCTAACTCTGATATGGATGTGTGATCAAAACTACTAAAAAGAACACATCAATTCTTGTTTCAAATAAGTCTAATTTTGATATGAAATTCATTTAATAGATAAACTGTCGCCTCTATGATTTTAAACAAATATAATAAATCAGAGAGAATCATATATAACAGATAAAAACACGATAGTAGGATGCAATAACTCTCCATGTGATCAGGCTGTGAAACTAGGTGTACCACAGGGTTCATTCTTGGCCTTTTCCTATTTCTTCTATATGTAAACGACCTTCCACAATATTTAGACGATGTTCAAGTAACAATATTGTCTGAATGTTATTCTTTGGAATTGCAATGGGTTTGCCTCTTTTTCCTGTTGTCTGTAATATTTCTCACGGAAAATTCTGTATATACCTACCAAAAACGGTCAGAAACTTGTTGGAGGCATGTTGATGATATATTTATAATTTGGCAACATAGCATAGATGAATTAAATAATTTTTATTTTATCAATAACAAAGTGATGAAATTCACTCTTATTTCTTGACTTACGAATAGTGATGTTATGATAATTTTTTAAAACTTGATTCCAATGAGTCCATCACAAAAAATGAAATAGGAATGGTTACACACCATTTCATACACAAATGTAAATAATATGAAGTCATCGACAATAAAAAATATCAATGAAAACTTATTGTTAAAGCACATATGAAATGAAATTGATGAAATATAAGAATATTTTTGAAACACAATATATAATGCACTTATAGGAGTTACATCTTGTTTGGAACCAGTGTTTATAGAAAGGAAACACACACTTATACAAATTTTTTGAATCATCAAATTAGTATATAATAGCTATCATTAAAATACTTTGATTGAACAAAATGCTATCTCTTGACGAGTGTTTCGCTAAAACATCATCTCCTAGTCATGATAACTTGGTTAGCAGAACATGCGTCGGGAGACAGTATTTTTGTTCTGGTGTGGGAAAAGTGTTTCTAATAGATATAAAAACCTGAATATTTTTTTTAACTGATACACAATTACATTGCTCTTTTAACTCATTTATTACTTATTATATAGATTATGCAGGGTGCCAATTTGAAACTTCACACCTTTAATTTCTTCCTTCCAGTAAATAATATGGGGAATCGAAAAAACAGGTCAATTTTATAGTCAAGGAAGACACTTTCAAGGAATATTTGTAGCCCTTGTGGTTCAACCCTCAAGGAGGGGTAGATGTTACCCTTATAATCTTAAATGGAAAGGGATGTCAAGTGACATATCATCTTGATTGGCGTTCATTTCTGCTTCCAATGACGTTTTATTTTTTGATGAGCAATTTCCGAAAAATAGCGTTCTAAACTTACACATGTAATTAGAATTTGCCTGTTCTGAGATGCATTTTTGTATGGACTCCTTTTAATAAAAATGTTTAGAAGAGTAGGTTGCACCATTTCAACTCTTGAATGACAGGAATAAATGTAATGTGTGTGGAATTATTTGTTGGTTATTGTCCTTTTAAAAAATAAAATTCAGTTTGCCAGAAAGACATTTCGGACATAAAATCTACTTATGCTTATCTTATAAATTGTTCGAAATGTCGTCCATTTTACTCCAAATAGTAATAAAGTCTGTTTTTGAACTTCCCTCTTACATAACGGGAAACTTCACTAGGAATTGACTGGCATGCTGCTGTAATTCATCTTTTAAGTTCTTCAATATCAGAAAGTTGTGTTTTATAAACAACGGATATAAGATGCCACAAAAAAGAAATCTAAGGGTGTTGAATCTGGTGATCTCGGAGGCCATTCAACTGCTCCCATTCTGCCAATCTATCTATCTGAAAATCTCTCGTTTAACCACTGTCGGACGAGAAGAAAATAATGAGATGGAGCACCATACTGCTGGAAATGTAACAGATCCTCCTGCAAAAGTTCATTACCTTCTGCATCCATTTGAGTTTCTAGCTCATGAGTTATAAGAGGATCGATAGTCTCTTCAAGCATTTCAAGGTACAGATTGCCAGTCAAGTTTTCTTCCAGAAATAATGGACCAATAATGGCATTTCCAAGAATACCAGCCCAAACATTAATTTTTTGTGGGTGTTGTATACACCTTTCTCGAAAAATATGTGGGTTTTCATCACTCCAATAGAGACAATTTTGTCTGTTAACATTGTCATTCAGAAAAATTGAACACTCATCGCTAAAACAGATGTTTAACAGAAGGTTAGGGATGGTATTGACTCAATGAAACATGATTCTTCTATCATAATCATCTCCGTGGAGCTGTTGAACAATCTGCATTTTATAAGGATGAAATTTATGCATTTCCAATGTATTTCTTATAGTGTCGCGTGACATTCCTGTCTGCTCTGATAATGAACATAAGGAGCTCGTGGGCTCTGCAGCAAATGTTCCCAAAACTTCAATTTGAGCTGCTTCATTTAGTACTCTGGGGTTATTTCGTTTTTTATTTGTCACTGAACCAGTTTCGTAAAACTTATTCACCAAATCAAGCACATTCCGGTGACTTACATTACAATTTGGATGTCTTTCGTTGAAAAGAAATGGCACCCTTTGTGCACATTTTCCAACTTCTCCAAATATTACAATCATGTCAATTCTGTCTTGAAGAATGTAAACCATTTTCACACTTTTATACAGCAGAAGTAGCAAAAGAGGCGGCTATCTGTACACTTTCTGCTATCTAAACACAACTTTACTACCATTTACGTTTTACTATTAGACTGGTTTTTGATGTAAGTTTGGAGCTAATGGCTAATGTTACCCCTAATAAAGGGTTGGAACGGTACCAAATTGATACCCTGTATATATATCGTTATTGGTGAATAAATAATATTATCATACCTAAAACTTAAGTTTAGTAGCTATCATTAATTTTTTTCAACGGCATGAAGGGTCTAGTGATACATCATTTGAAAGGTGCTCTTCTATAAACACCGTACATTTTTTCAAAATTGGTTATCAAGAAAGTTTCATTTAAGGAAAAATTTAACACTTGGTTTTCCATATTGAGGAAAATTGACAACAAATGACAACAACGAAACAAAATGACTGAATAATCCTACAATAATTGGATTTTTGTTTGATTGGTACTTTCAATTAATGTAATCTGTAAATTAGAGATTTCACATACCATTTCATTATAATTCGTTTTCCTGGCGAATTGTTCCTCTGCAAACAAAGCAATGTTTTCTTTGGTTCGTACATTTTTCTTTACAAATCCAAGTCTTCTGTCTTCTAGATCAATACTCAAATCATTTCGATCTCTTCTCAACTGTTGAATAAGGTCAAAATCATCTTTATTCATCTTTCTTGTCAACTTGGCCTGAAAATAATATCAATGAGCATCTTTAATGAAAAGAAATTGTAATGCAGTAGTTTTAGAGAAGCTTCTATTAAAGCCCGACAGTTTTGTGTATTTGAGTGAAATAACCAAGAAATCAGTTATCCTTTGTAATCACCCCAAAAATTCACAGCCATATTCTTATTTCAGTAGCTATCTCACCCAAAATACACAAACGGATATTTTTTAATAACAGAGTTTCACACATTTTTCTGTTGATATTTATGTAAACAAGGTGCCCATATTGAAGGTTTACTTGGGAAACTGTACTTCTTGACATTTCGCTAGCGAAAATGGCTAGCTTCATCAGAGCTTCATCAGCCTGAGTTAATCTCCAATGACTAGATTAAACAGCTTTGTAAAGGCTATTTATGTGGACTCAGGTAGTCTAGTTGTTAATACCTGTACTTGAATCATATTGTCAATGACGTTCGTCGACCCTTTTCTAGCTGCTGTCATGCTGTTTGCTATTCTTGAACTTCTTAGAATGGGATTCCATATTCGGTTGAGGTTCGCAGCTTCTTCTTTTGTGTTGGAATTATCCGCTTCTTCCACTGAATGCGTGTTCCGCCTCATCCGACTTGTTCGTTTGGCCTAGCCTGCAGTTTATTTCATGCCCCTTCAGCCTTGTTTCCATGGATCTTTTGATGGTTCCGATTTATACCTTTCCACAAGTGCACGGTATGCGATATACCCCTGCTGCTGATAATGGGTCTCTTTTGTCTTTAGCCGACTTGAGGCTTTGTTGGCATAACTTTAGTCATGAAATTGAAGAGTTTCACGGTTCAAAAAGGGGTAGATGCTCAGATGGTATCACACGCGTATCTACTATATATTTAGGGTCGCAGACAGAATTGGAAAACTCTTGGAGAAACACATTAAAACGGTTTTCGAACCCACCAAGATGAAACAACCAAGCCTCGGGTCGGCTAAAGACAAAATAGATCCACCATCAGTAGCAGGTGTATATCGCCTACCGTGCACTTGTGGAAAGGTATACAGTATGAAAGAAACTGCAAACTAGGCCAAACGGACAAATCGGCTGTGGAGGAACACTAACTCAGTGAAGGAAATTACAGGATTATATTTGAAAGCACGAAATTCAGTGCCCTCAACCAGAGACACCATAGCCGACTGGCTATGGCTTTGAAGATCCACAAACATGTGAATAATTCCAACAGAATAGAAGAAGTTGTGAACCTCAACTGAATGTGGAATTCCATTCTAGGGAGTTCAAGAATAGCAAACATAAATACGCTTCACGAAGCCGTATAATCCAGTCATCAGAGATTAACTCATGATGTATAAACCTCTCTGAAGAAGCTAGCCACTCGCGCCAGCGAAACATCTGGAAGATATTCCAAAAATCAATGGCTAGGATTCCCTGATTATTAAATAATATATTACTGTACACATTTGTTGATATTTAATTTTTTTTTCCATGTTACACCCAAACTTAGGGGTTGTATGTATCCACATTAGGATTTTCTAAATGAAGTACGTTCATTCAAAATGTAGTGAACTAGATATTTATGAATATATATTGAATACTTCATGTACCAATATTGTTGTACTCATAGAGAGGTACATTAAGAATTATTTTCATCTACTATTATCATTTTGTGACTAGCACATAATTCAACCAGTGTATTCGTCACCCGAGATAGCATTTTTGTCATATGGAATGCCACAATCAGTATAAGTATAAAAATACAATGACTAAGGAAGTGATTCAAAAGTATGAGATTAATAAATATTTTACTTTTGACTAAATGTTATAACACAGTAGTTTTACATGATGACATCATACATTATAGAAAACATCTAGGGGAAACATCAAAATCACCAGTTAAAAAGTGTTTCAGATTCATTTTTTGAAATCAGCAGGTGAAAATAGTTTGACAAGAGATTTGACTTTAGAAATAATTATAATTTTGATATGTAAAATGCTTTAGATTTTTCATCCACAAGCACTTGTAATGAATAGTGTTTTTTGAATTCCTTTTTTTTTTTCAAATTTTGTTTGTATAGTTTAATATTCATGTACTTGTCCTATCCCAGTTATTTGCCTATACAGTAAGTAGAAATACATCATGTCCAAAAACACTAAAACAACATTGCAAAACATTGAATATAGTAGAAAAAGTAGATCCCAATGTAATTTACTTTATGGGATCCAGCCCAAGGCTCTAATATCCCTAAAAGAAAACTCAAAATACCACTGTTTCAACAATTCAATCTTTGGGCATCAGGTGTAGTTAGTTCACCATATATGGCAACTTACAGTCTGCACAGAGAGACCAGATAATTCATTTCCACAGAAGTTATAAAACGCTTTTGATACTCCATCCAGTTTCAATCAGCTGCCCAGTTTCAATCAGCTGCAAGTGCTGATTTCATCAAAAATAATCTTGTAACATGAAACCTCTCTCATTTTGCAAACAAAATTCTTTAAAGCCTCGTCGATGTGACCCACAAAATTATGAGTCGACTGCAAGTTTACAAAGCTTTGCTTCAAGATATAAGAGGTGTTAATAATAAACAAAAAATTTATCAACAAAACAAACCAATAAAGATATTCAGGGATGGGCAACGTCAATAGAAACTACGTTTTTCTGCAGGAATCATGCTTTGGATTAATTACCTGAGCATTTGATCTTCTCACAACGAAATATGGATCGTTTTCTTACAATATACGAAAATAACTAACGTAAAAAACACTATTCACGTAAGCAAGGTTTCCTATCAGCTTGAAAATTGAATTAATTGAAGCAGAACTTGTCACAATAGTTTACACTGTTCACATATATACCACATAACCACAGAACACCATAAGTAATAAATACAAGACAGGAAACAGAAAACGCATAAATAGATGACAAGTGACTTCAGGTGATTTTCATTCTTCTTTCTTGGTTATAATTTATAGTCAGATAATTTTGGATAACAACAATCGTTTCTAAAATAATAATCATAGCATATGAATAAATTCACTAAATGATAATCGAACAGGTATACATTACAGTAAGGAGATTGGTCACGACATATCACTATCCATGATAATAATTAACAATTTTCACAAACATTTTATTTTTCGACGCGTTTCGCTAACACCGTAACTAATGATAGAGGAAGCTACGGCATTAGCGAAACGCATCTAGAAATTGAAATGCGAAAATTGTTTGATTATTATCATGTATGTATTATTAATTTTCATCATCATTTTCAGGTGCTACTCGAAAACGGGCCTCACTCTAGGAATTATGTAATGTTTCTAATGTATAAGACTTGCAGTACAAAAAAATGCTTATAAAATTAACTCATGGATGAGATCGCATACACATGTGACTAAAAAGTTACAATTCTGGCGTTATTGCCATTGTGATTGACTCGACTCCAATCTTTTTTTTTAACAAGTAACATGTTTTAATATTTTCAGAAACATATAATTCATTATAACATTAAAATCAACAGTTCAAAAATAACTTTTCAAAACGCTCAAAGGTGCGGAATCGTTTTCTCCTTTTCATAGAAGAGGATGTATGCATCTCCACTAACAAGCGATTTTGGTGAAATTGGTGACACTTGTGAAACATTGTATTCGTGCCGAGTGCCAGTAGGTATAAGGATGTCCGCAGCATGCTGGTAAAAAACATGAGCAGATGAGGTGTATGTCCTTTGCCCAAATCCATTAATTCAAGCAATAGGTTGATAGTTCGTACTGGAACCTCTGGCGTAAAATGAATCTATTGAAAACACTTTCCCAACACCAGAACAAAAATTACGGACTCTGAAAGGCTGTAATTTTTGTTCTGGTGTTAGGAAAGTGTTTTCAATAGAAGCAAATGGGTATTAATGACAGTTAATTGAAAATTCGAAATGCAACTAGTTTTATAATTCAATTTTCATAAACGTTTTGTAATATTCTTCATGTCTCAAAATTTGAACAGTGGTTATTATTAAGAATAGAAGAAAAAGTCGAACTGATTTTTACCCATCTGGTACAAAATTTCTAACACTGCCATTTCGAAATTATTTTCGATTGTAAAAGGTAAAAGTAACCAAAATTAAAATCAAAATAGATAAATTGTAAAAATGCTGTGAATTCATGCAGCTGTTAAATGGAACTTATCAGTCAGTTTGATATTCACAATAACTTAGGACATGAACTGGTTTGGCCTGCTTATTCAGAGAAAAAATAATAGGGTCTATCATCTACCGGTAAGATATGATTCAAACCACTGAGTTATTCCGTCAATGCCACAACGAAAATTTTTTTTGAGCGGTATTAAATGATATACACAATCGACTGCTTTGGTTAAATAATGAAACATTGATTTAGCTGAATCACCATATTTGATATTGTTATGAAATTCGAACGAAAGTAACACTACTGTTCACGAGCACCAGAACTGCAACCTTCTTCTAAATGTGCGTTTCACCAACCAAATTGGCATCATCTTCTAAAGACGCCAACTTGGTTGGTGAAACGCACATCGAGAAGAGTGTTGCAGTTCTATCGTGTTTGGGAACATTACTTATTTTGGATTCATTCTACACCAGAGATTCCAATTCTATCTTTCATTGGTATACTTTTTTCGGTTGGGAATCAAATTGTTTTTTTCTATTTGTTTGGCTAATGAAAGGATAAGATATCGTGAGTGTTTAAAAAATGAAGTTCTTTATGGTTCCAAACTTGTAACTAATACATTCCTCATATAAATAAATATAGTTTAAGAAAACTAAAAAAACACACTTTTAAAGAACATTGAACTAAAAAGTTGATTTTTTTTAAAATAAGCTCAAAACAATAGCGAACGAAAAATACTAGTATTATTGTGAAAAAAGCGACGGGCGCTTGATATACAAAAAATATGGCACAAAGCGCCCACGTTTTTTTCACAATAATACTAGTATTTTTGTCAAATACCCAAATACAGATCCCGAGCTTGAGAGTTACAAACAAACAAACATACATACATACAGGTGAAGCCAATAAAAGCGCGATGAAAATAAAAAAAATGATCGAATACAAATGAATTGAACAATGTTTGAAAATACGAACTTACTTTAAAGGTATACAACGTAAACAGTCTTTGACGCCGAAATTTTTTCCAAACGCTTCCCCTTCTGCAACCGTCTGAGGCAGTCTGTGATGCAATGTTTCTGGCAACCTGAGAACGAGTAGTCCTCCAATGATAGACATCACTCCCATGATGATCAAAGGTAGGATCAACATCGCTGAACCCTGGAAACAGTCAACTCAGCTGAATTCAACAAACAATTTACTTTTTAATGCTCAGAATCTGACTGAAATCTGACTGAAACAAAATATCTCACCAAATAAGTTATGAATGGTATGATAATGAGTCCCAGTCCTGCGATATAAGCAGAGGTACCAATTCCAAATCCTCTCAGCTGTGTGGGATACAGTTCTCCTGCAAATGGGTAGATGATCAGGAAGGAAGCCGAAATTGCAGACTTTGATACCAAAAATAGAACCAAAGTGGTATGCACATCATCTAAAAAAAAAGGTCAATGAAAAACCTGTGTAAAAAGGAAAGCATTGCTTGTGCTTGCACTCTTGCACTTCTTACCTGTAGGTATTCCAACCGTTGCTAGGCAACAAACTCCACAAATCAGCATACACGTGCATATCGGCCATCTCCTCCCCCATCTATCCATCACTAACCAACAAGTGAGGTAAGTAGGAATTTCTACTGCGGATGATAGCAGAAAACTCAAGTGTTCGTTGCTGCCCAAAGAAGGGCCGTAATAGCTCAAACCGACGTAAACCGTTTCGTTGGCGAACCAGTTGATGGTTATCAAGATGGTCTTCAGTCGCATGTTGGGGGTTCCGCACAGGTCGGAGCAACCTAGAAATTATAGAGTTAGTAAATAGTTAGTCGAAGTAGGTTACTGAGAAAATATCAACCCGGAGTTCTTTTGTATGCCTCTTCCTCACTCTTCGTTCGTTTATACATTATATGTCTTTTGAGCTGCTGTTTGAAGCTGGCAGGTAGTTCTTTCTTATTAACTTTGGCGAGTTTTTCGATCACTTTTGATGCTTCTTCAAAACGTCCTTTTGCTAGAAGCCACCTAGGACTTTCGGGAAGACAAAACCAGTAAAGGTAGTAGAAAATGAATGGTGCGGAGGTGACAATACCCAAGTGGACCCAGTTTCTGATCAGGTATGTTATAGCGGCAAGCATCATAAGCCCTACTGTATAAAACATGCAGGTTAAGACTGTGACGAATGATCTATAATTTGGACCAACCAATTCCAGAGCTGAAACAAACAAAGTATACACAATGTCTCCTGTATATTGTTATTCTTTGAACATATACACGTGTGGGGTAAATAAGATCTGATTCAGGCAAAACTAAAATTGACATTGAGACCACGACAGAGTTGGGAATTCATGAAATCCAATAAATCCAATTTTTTCACAAATGTTAAATCGTTAGTAAAGAAGGAATAGGACTCACAGATAATGAAAGGTATTTGGTACATCGCCGGTATGGTTAGCCCGACTATTATCCTACTTCCAGCCCACCACCAAAAATTTTGGGCCGTCACCGTGAAAATGCTGCCAATCAGAAGAACAGTGAGACATAAGAAAAACGACTTCTTCCTACCGATAGTGTCATTCAATCTCCCGAAGGTGTAAACGCCAACTGGACCTCCAAGGTTGAGAGCCACGAGCCCTAGAGTAGGGTAGATGTCCTTGTCACAAACCAAATCGAACTGAAAAAAAATGATACCAACGAATTTTTATTTTCAATCTCCCAATTAGAATTCAAAATAAATTGGCCTCACAGTTCAAGCTTCAATTTGAAGGACAAGCCTGACTAAGAAAAGATGACTACATATTCCCCCACAAAAACAACATCTGTGAAACAGTTAAGTTCAACGGTCGTGATTCATTCTAGCACCACTGAAGAGATATATGGTGGGTCGAAACAACACTGTCTCGTTTTGGATTATAAATGTCCTGTAGTGAAATCTACAGAAAAAGAACGAGGACGAATCCCGTTTGGCGATCGGTATCGAAACCTAGGTTTGCAATGGACCGCTATTATAGAGAGTCTCGTTTATCATTGATATTCGTGGATGTATGGAGTCTTCTGTCAATACCCGTCTTTTCTTATTCAGGATTGTCCTCTTAGGACAATTGAGTACTTTGTTTTCAGGTTCTGGTTTCAAATAATGTATTTCAATATTTTATGGAATGAGAAATGAAACTTTCTATGTTTTTAACCACTTTTATTTGTTACTAACGTCACTGCAGTTTTCCTATAAGGACATTTTCAAAGTTCAATGTATAAGTTTGAAAATGTCCTTATAGGACGAAACTGCGGTAACGTTAGTTACAAATAAAACAAGGTAAAAAACATAGAAAGTTTCATTTCTAATTTTTCATATTTCAATATTATTTGTGGTATTTTTGAAAATATTCCTCGATATTCTCTACAAGTGAAATAATTAGATTTTTTTATCGAAGAGAGCTTCCTTCAGTTAGTTAGGTAGACCATTTAATTGAATGTGAAAGGTGACTGTTGAAACTTGCAAAAAAATGTTATGGACATAAGCACTACTTCAATACGATACAATAAAACACAAATATTCGTGGAAACTTACATCTATAACAATGCTGGAAACTACTTTACTCTTGTCATAAACCCACCCATCGAGGCACCCCTCCGTAGGCCACGACGTATTAGCCACGACACCGTTAATTCCAGACTCTCTCAATATTTCTGTCCAGTTCGCAACATATCTAGTACATTTTGAAAAAGTACCATCGTATGGGATGGAGAGATTTTTTTGGAGTTCTTCGCTCAGGTTCGCCAGCTGTGGAACCCTACACCAATGTTCAGGAACGTCCGCCATGAAGAGTTGATTGAAGGCCCCGAAACCGCAGGGAAAGCAGGCCGGCAGGCAGACCAACCAGAGCATGAGCTTCTGGTAGGTTCCGAATTCGCCCAGTTGGGGAAGGAGGTCATCCATGTCCATACCATGCTGTGAAAAAAAACCATTATCAAAGTTGGCAGCAACAGAATGTGTATAGAACTTGAAATGCTTGAAAGTCGTGATGAATCCCTTGATTACCGACCTGAGAAAGGTCAGGTTATTGAATACGCCTAAGTCATCAATGATCTTGAAGAAGGCCCTATGCATCAGCTTATTCTCATAAGGTAGCAGGAGTTAATTGATCTCTGCGATTTTTATGTAGTTATATGTATTTACGACTTTACCAACGAACTAATCTCTCCTAAGTATACTATTTTTTCAATTTGAATGAAATTCCTATGCGGCTGAGTTCAAATTAACCAACGGTATGAATGTTTAAACGATCTGTCATCATGACAAAAGTATATTTTTCTCTTTTGGTGACATAAAGTCGTTAGGATTAAATCATCTTCAGGCCAATTTCAACTCCCTACACGTTAGGTAGAAAACAACTACTCCCCTGGCTAATACCACAAAAAGCGTTGGATTATATCCGACAGGTGTCAGTGCAGGGTTATTCACTGAAGTTATTCCTACATATGCTGTTGGCGATACAACTGTCGCAATAGATTTTCAATTATTGGAACACACTTGTAGACCGGTTTCGGGCTGTTTGGCCATCTCGTCAGTGCAAGGTAGTGTCTATCATAAACGTGAAGTCGATGATTTCTGATCATTGAAAATCGAATTCCTTCTGAGTATTATTCCTCGAACTAGGCTGAAGCGGACAGCAAAAAACAGGTTTGTCATCGCCCCATCTGCCTGTGAACGAGGTAACCAACCGCATATCAAAAATTTGCCTAATTCCTCGTATGAGGAAAGAAAACTTTTCACATATAGTCAGTGGGCATACTTGAAGACTGGCCATGAATCAAATAATCTAAAGGAACAATTCATTAGGATTAGACAGACTTAGGTTAAGTAGGCTTAGGTTAGGAAGACAAAATAAAAATAATACAAGTCTTACTACAAGAAGGGTCAAGTGGTAGAGCACGAATTGGTGAACTTCCCCTTGAGAATTCCTGTCATCCATATTTGTTTTTTTCCTCATCTAATTATAATTGTGCTTCAGTGTACGTGGCATGTGGAAATAAAGACATTTATTATTAATGTTATGAAATAAATGAGCATTTCGTCTTGTAATGTTATCCAAAAACAGCACCGAAACATGTTAGTTTCAATTTCATAATAAATGTTTGTTTCAAATGGAGTTTTTCCTTCGTATAATTCAATGTTCATATGTTCATGTGAGAGTAGTTGTTCCGAAAGGGTTTTTTCTGCCAGTTTGTATCTGAAAAAAGCCTTTGTGCACGATCTACACATCTTTATGAAAAGGTTTCACTGTAGTTAATTTTTCTTCCCGTTTTTGGAACATTTTTTATTCAATGATAGCAAAATAGAAATCCCAATAGTTTTTGCCCAAAAAAATCAATCTTAATTTGGTGACCCTGAGAATGTCAATGCAGTTAGGACATCAAGGACAACAAGTAGAATCCAAAATTTTGTGGATAAATTCTGTATTCTAAATGACAATCTTTTGTTTTTTTTTTGAAACTGAAACGTCTTGAGGGGAAGGCACATTTTAAAACTCGGAAAATTAACATCTCGTACATAGGGAAAGTCCATTTTTTGTTACTATTTTGTTGAACGGAGAAGAGATTTTCCCAGTTCCTTTGTTAACTTTTTCACTTGTGTTTGATGATTTTGACAGATGTTGGCTGATATTAGATATAATTCAAGCTAATCATTTAATTTTTAGAATGCTACCAAGTGCAATGTTATTATACAGCAACAAGGACATTTTTCCAAAAAAATCAAGACAAAACTGAAAAAGCCTTACACTTTACAAGAGTTGATGTGAAGTGACAAAACTTATATGAAAAAAAGGCAAGAACAAGAGATATTTGGAAATACAATTTGTGGAGTGAAACAAATATAGATACAAAAAAAAAACAGAAAAAAATTACCTCCACTTATTAGAAATCGAAGATTCTGCACTTTGACATACCTGTCACAATATTTCTCACGGGCACTACCATAAAAATATTTTTTTTACATTGATCTCACCTCATTGGACTTCGAATTTTTGGTTTCGATAATTTCGCTTTCACCAGATTCAACTAATTCCATTTCTGACCCAGTCGTCAGTCGTCAGTGATACTGTGTTCTATCAGATTAGGTCGGAAGCCATACAGATTGACTGCTTTATGGGATTATTCCACATTCTCAATCAATTAACATTGGAATCAAATTCTCCGTCAGAAAAATAAAACAAAGCCTTAATAAATATAACACAATGTTACTTTCATCGACACTATTCAGTGTGATACCTACTCGTATAAATTCTGATTCTGAACATGTAGCTGACTGATTCAATTTTCTCAAATTTGACAAAAGTCACAAAATACATTTGAACCAAACTTTTTGCCATTGTCCTAACATTTCATCAGAATGTGGAAATATATATGAATATTGAACGCTTGCAGTTTGGGATTTGAACAGATACTAATGATATTTAAAAAAGCTACTAGCTATCTAGATAAAAGTTGATTATGAATGTTTATTTCAAGCTAATATAAGAGAACAAAAAACTCAAATATGTGTAATAAATACTAAATATGAAACAAGTTTTAGAACATGTTCATATAAGTACTGTTTTTACTTAAGAAGACCTCTAGTTTCAAACAATGCCTCTAACCCAGAGGCAAATTTTTGTTCACTGTGAATACTGAAGAAATCTTTTTCGACGGCTACATCAAGTTTGAACTTCCATTCAGAGATGTCGTGGCAGGTACGACTTCAGAATCCTACTCCACGTTAAATTTGAAATGGTAAAAGTGAAATATGTTATAAAAATATATGCTTGAGCAAAAATTAATTTCGGGTTTGAAATTGTCAAATAAAAAAATATTTTGAGATGATATCGAAACATTCATATCTCCCAAGGTACCTGGTGAATGCTTTCCCGGCTAATACCACTATGGACATTGAATTATATCCGACATACCTTCATGCAAGATACCTCGCAGAGAATGATGGTCTTGCAGATGCTTCTTGTGCATCAAGCAGCAGAACCTTTCTGAAATCAGTGGTAGATCAACTACATGTTGTCTCTTCAGTTTTGGGGTTAGTGTATAAGATATGATTCTTGTTATGATAATCTTTTTTCTAATTCTGAGTTTTCAGTTCGGGTAGTCAGTATCCCTTGCGGTTGTTGATTTTTTCTTTTGCTTCAGGTTAGGTTAGGTCAGGGGTGGTGGGGGTAAGGCTTCAGTTCATTCCAGGCTGTTTGCTGTTCACTATCTGATTGCCAGTGGATACTTCTCGGGGATGTCCTAGATCTGTTCCGTCTGGTCTTCCATTGCTCCCAAGAGTCTAGCTGGGGGAGACGGGAGCTTCTTCCCCGGTATCCTTCTGGGGCCTCCACGTGACGTCCACGGGGTGGCCAGAGTGGCGGACGTGTTGCTGCTGCTCATTGTTCTCGTGGCGTATCGGCATTGGAGTTCCTGAAATCTTAGGTTGATTGGGGTAATATTTATTATGTTATGTGAATTTTGGGAGTGGTATCGGTATGGGAGGTTATCGATGGTACGTAGGATTGTTAATATGCGGTGTGCTCGTCTCAGGGAGAGCGTACAGTAGATCGTGGCTTTATAATCCAGGATCGATCTTATGAACATTTTGTATGTGTGTAATAGCGTCTTACTGTCGCATTTCTCAGGGCTTTTAGGAGACTTGCTCTTTTTCGGACTCTGTCCAGAGTTTCTCTTGGGTCGGTTTCTCAGTTGTGGGTCCTCGTGAAAATAACCACCGAGTCTTGGAGTTGGAGGTTCTCCCATGAAAACTTGAGGCTCAAGTTATCAGGATTCAGTTTGGAGCGAGTTGTGGTATTGGTGTGTCTGATGAGTATATGGTTTGGGTTTTGGTGGGATTGATTTTGATGCGACACTTTTGATGCATCATTGCATCAGCGTACTGGATTTTTTGGTTGGTGGGTGCGTTGTGGACGTAGATTAGGAATAAGGAAGGGGCTAGGATTGAGCCCTGGGGGACTCCGGATTTTGGGGGTGAGGGGAAAAAGTAGGGTATTGCCGACTTTAACGCCAGATAGGGGGCCACTAGTCGGATAAAGTGGTGTGGAAGGCGAATTTGGGTAAGTTTCCAGATCAGGCCCGCGTGCTAGACCTTGTTAAAGGCTTTCTGGATATCTAGAAGGATTGCGACTGTGACGAAGGAAGAGTTGATACGTTGGGGGATGTGGGTGTGAAGTTCGTCGAGTGCATTCAGTGTTGAGTGTTCCGGTCTGGAACCATGTTGGTGAGGAGGGATACTGTCGTTTCCTTGTTGAGGGCTGAGAGGGAAAAATAGGGTTTCAAAAATTGTATTCAATTTCGTTAGTTTTCAAGTTGGAAACCTGAAGTTTTGGGTTGATAAAAAATATTGTAAGTATTTGTTTAAAATGATCTGTCACGAAACTTAATGTGACAAACCAAATTCTACGCGTGCGAAGCCGCGGGCAACAACTAGTATAGTATAATTGTAGGTTATCGATTCACAATCGAAAGCGCTTTGAACAATAAATATCATATTTCATGAGAAACATAATGGAGACCATGGCCATTTCATTTTGCAACTGTATTCGATTATTAATTCAACGTAATTTTCATCATTCCATTGAATATTAAAGTTGTTATGCTTATTATAATTAATAAGGTTTCTTCAATTAAATGATATGATTATGAAGCTCGAATATTCATAGTTCGATAAGAAACTCAGTTAAGGCTAAAGTTTGTTACTGTATAGATTTTTTGACTCAAATAATTTTGTTTGAATTGTCTAAAGGAACAATTCGTTCAGGTCAGTCTCCCCTTGACTACATAGTAGGTTTATGGACTGATACCTATCAGAACACAACTACTCCCTTGGCTAATACCACGAAGGGCGTTGGATTATATCAGTTTGTGTGACAAAAAACAAAATGGTTCTATCCACTTTGTAAGGAGACGGTAAAGGGCCGACAGTGAAAATAATTTTTCAAAAAAAGTAAATGGTCTATTTACTTAGAAATTGTGAATTTCTATCGCACGTATTTCTTGGTGTTAAAATACCTTCGTGGATTCGAAGGTAAGTACCTACACTCGTGTCTAAGGAAAGTATCGTCTCTTACAGATATTTTTCTTTCATAGGCTTTTTTTGTTGTTAAAATTGAAAATCTAAAACCTGATTACTCTTTAAAACCGGAAGTCGTACTATTGACTAGCTGAGAGCTAAAAACTATTTCACTGAGGATACACTACAAAAACACACTTTTGTCTATTTTCCACTATATTTCTTTATTGTTGACCGGTTTCGGCTATTACACCATTTTCAAAACTAACTGATTACATTTAAATCTGAGTAATTTATACCTATGTTGCTTATTCTATCATAAATGATTTGATATACCTGATATACCTGATACCCGGTACCTGCGTTTCATATTCCTGTAAAATCCATGGACATAACAAAGCTTTCAATATAATGTAGATTTTGGGATCTGGATTATAGGTTCAGGTAAATTAGAGAAAGGGAAGAGATCTGGTATATATCGAATAGAATGTGGTGAATGCCCCGCCATATATACAGGCCAAACTGGGAGAAATTTTGATACAAGGTACCACGAACATGTCATTTCGGATAAAAAATCATTAATGTACGAACATCTTCAAAATTCGAAATATAAAATAGATAAAGATAATTTAAAGATCCTACACACGAAAAAGGGAAAATGATGAATCTGTTGGAATCTATGGAATCTGTTGGAATCTATGGAAATAAACAGGTCAAAGAAAAATCCCAATTCTATTGTCCTCAACGAACAACTTGATTTAAATAATAGTCCTCTCCTGAACCTATAATCCAGATCCCAAAATCTACATTATATTGAAAGCTTTGTTATGTTCATGCATTTTACAGGTATATGAAACGCAGGTACCGGGTATCAGGTATATCAGGTATATCAAATCATTTATGATAGAATAAGCAACATAAGTACAAATTACTCAGATTTAAATGTAATCAGTTAGTTTTGAAAATGGTGTAATAGCCGAAACCAGTCAACAATAAAGAAATATAGTGGAAAATAGACAAAAGTGTGTTTTTGTAGTGTATCCTCAGTGAACATGAATTTCCACAAAATAAACAAGTCGTCAATCGAAGAAGTAAAAACTATTTCTTTTGTGATGTAACGATGTAAGTGTTTGTAAAAATCCTGGAGACCCAGATATAGCCTGCCTTTACCATTACTGACAGTTCCGCCACCTTTTTAACTACAATACTGAAACGAGGCAGTGTGCTGTCATTTGTCGAAAATATCCGAACTCCTGGCAGTCTTTATAGCCCTTCCCTGCGGCTCCAGAGTTGAATAACTTGATATTTTTTATCTGTTATACACGGTGTTTATGAAACATGCGAAAATAATTAAGGGACTATTCCTTGGACTATTCTAAGGATATTTGGTCCTTTGATGATTTTTGATAGGTTTCTTTGATTCGAAGACACGGAGCGAAAAATAATTTCGACATTAACAATTTATTACCAAAAATTACATGTAGTGTTTCTCAATCTACAAGAACTGTTGAAAATGACTACCCCCCGCTCGGATGCAAGAATCTTCTCCTTATCAACTGCTGAAGTCTTTCAAAAATACCAGGATCGTTTCTAATTGCATTACACCCATTAATTATCCGATTTCTCAAATATTCCACATCTTCCACTGGAGTAGTGTGAACTAATGACTTTAGGTGGCCCTATAGGAAATAATCCAGGGGGTTTGAGTCCGGTGATCGAGCAGGCCATAAGTGAGATTCACCTCGATCAATCCAGCGATCTCCGTTTGTTACTGTTAAAAACTTTCCAGAAACTGAGGTAGCGTTGGTTCCAAAAAGTTGCGGTATACCTCGCCGGTAAGTCTTCCTGGCATAAATACCGGTCCAATTAGAAAGTCACCTATAATTCCCACCCAAACGTTTAACGAGAACTGATGTTGAAAGCGATCTTCAAGCACCTCATGTGGATTTTCTTCAGTCCAAACATGGTTATTGTGGAAATTCCTTATGGCATTTCTTGAGAAACTAGCTTCATCCTAAAAAAGAATAACAGTCAGTAGTTGAGGGATTTGAACCAATGTGCGCAAAAGCCATTGACAGAATGCAATGCGTGAAAGAATATTTGCAGGAACAAGTGCCTGAACTCGTTGTATGGGGTATGGGTACAACAAATAGTCTCTAAGAATGTTCCAAATCGTCCCGTTACTTACATTTAAAGTATTTACAACTTTTCGAGTAGAGATACTTGAATCTTCTTCTATCATGGCCGGCACATTCTCTTCTACTTTTACCGTTCTTACTGTCATTGCCCTTCCTAGTCCTCCATTTCGCTTCTATGCTGCTGTTTCACGAAGTCGTTGATGTATACTTTGGAAGATTTTTTAATTAGGCATATTACG